TTTCATTTAAAAAAAAATGAAGTTTGGAGTGGGTTTTTTTTGTTTTTTTTTTTTTTTTTTGTAAAAAAGTTTAATGTACTGTGTTGGTCATCTACAAAAAAAGAATTATGGTTAGCACAGTAAAATTCCAGAAATGGTAGCCACAACTATTTCATAGTCTAAAATTAGTGAACTATATAAAGAATAGAAATGCCCAAGAAACAGTATTAAATGAAAATTTTTTCTTTGTATTTTTCTATTTTAATAAAATACAGCAATATCCTCCTCAAACATACATTTCCCCCACCTATTTAGTCAATAAAATAAGTATTTAAGTAAATTAAAATATGGGTATGACCAATACACTGTGGACACAAAGAAACTTCTTCACAATAAATTATGGGTAGTATCCTTGTTTTTCATCCTAATACAACGCCTGACAGTTAGATGTTCCATAGATGTTTAATGAATAGCTAAGCATATATCTATTATTCATATACATTCCAAATACAGACAGGTTTGCAAAGGTACATAAGATGGACATAGGCTTTCTGGCTGACTTCATGGGGTCCCACTGATGACTAGAAGTAAATCTTCATATCCACAAGAAAACTGGAAAGTTGGTAATTGTCTGGGTAAGGACCAAAAAAAAAAAAGTCAGGGAAACATGTCACCTAAGTAATAGTTGCTTTACAGAGTTGGTAAAAGCAGGCTAATCATCCCAACAACCTACTGTACTATTCACTCAACAAAATAAATGTGCCTTCTGAACATTTATAAATACTTGATGTGAGATCTTAAAAATCACTGTCTACTCAAAATCAATCACTTTTGTCAAATTCCATCCTATATGAGGATTAAAAAGGGAAAGGTTTTTACTTTTTAAGAGTACTACAGTGTTAACGGTATAAATTTGGCTGTTAATTAGAAAAAAAGGAAATCCAAAGAAATAAAATAAATCCAGAAAACTTCACGACTGAAAATTTTAGCAAGAATGAAGGTAAAAGGGAGGAGAGGAAAGGAATTTCACACCTGGGAATAAAGACTGTGACTGTGAAATTAAAATAGAATACAATAAAAATAAAATCAGTGAGACCTACTGTGCACCAGGTATTAAGCTGAAAGTGGGAAGTTTCAAGAAAACCAAAATCTTTGTTCCTAAGTAGTTCACTGAGGCAAGACGCACAAGTAAACATTTTCAAGATAACATAAATTCTATTTCTTTTTTGATAAAATGGGTCCCTGGAACAAAAATATTAAGTATATTTTCAAATAAACTGGAAGTTAGTGGGGGGAAAATAAGCACTAAAGAAGTAGAAATATTTGTCAAAATAGTAACCCACAATGAGTAAAATGTATCCTTCTTTAAAAGATCAATGATTGAACTATGGATAAAATTATAGTTCTAACATTATTTACCTTTATATTCTTTAAAAAAAGTGTACCTTCATAAATAAAACTTTTAAGTGCTATGCACAGAATTATGTATGACAGTTTCTTTTCTGAAAAGAACAATAAGGTAGTTAGCACAGTGTTGAGAACTGAGTTCTGTAATATCTGTGCTGCCTACTCACAGACCCTAGAACTTCTGACAAGTTCCTTCAAGTCTCTGAATTTCAGAAAAATGGAAAATGAAGACGGGAACAAAGTGACAGCCAAGAGACCATCTAGTTAAAACATTACAATCTTAAAATATCGGTGGTTCTTTCTACTTAAAAACTAAACCATAACACAAAATAAAAGGGTTTGTAAGCATAAATCATTATCCAACTTGGAGAAAGTCTAGAATCATTCAACCATAAAAGCGTTACCCTAGGGTTGTTAGGATAAGAAACATTTTCAAAGGAAAACAATAGAAAGTAAAGATATTAAATTCAAAACTAAATTTGACTCACATGCCTACTGGGGCAACTACTACCCTAATTATCTACACAATTCGCATACTTAACATTGATTTCTTCACTAAGTTTTACTTTGTATCTCTAATATTAAGGTTCCTGAGGTTTAAATTGAGGACAAATTATCTTAGGTGTATCTGGAATAGTAGTATTAATGTTGGGATAGCAACCTGAACTTGGCACAGATATCTGCTTAAATGTACCAATTACACTTCAGAGAAAGGTAAGAAACTATTCAATTTGATAACAACAATGAGAGAAATATGACCATATTTTTACTACTACATAGCTTTTTCTCCTGTGTAAATGTCTACGTTTTCAGAGTTGGTAATTAAAATTTTACCAAACAAGTTGCTGCCTATGCAATGCTTTTCAGTCACTTAAGTATGTATATTATGATTTGGCTTTGTCATTAAAAAATAAAAAATTAAACATCATCATGTATTTATGATATTTATGTCAAATACCCTTCGAGATTTAAATTTTTTCAGTATTTTCTAGCTGATCAAATTGCTGTTTTCATACTGCCAGTTTGATCACAAAATTGCTATTTTACAGACAAATATTTTTTGCTGACATAAGTTATGAGATGCAATGTAGTTACAAGAAAAAAGTGTGTGCGCGCGTGTGTGTGTTGTGAGAGACAATATTTGTGCATACATCTCTAAGGGTAAAGAAATGTAAACAAAATACCACTTCCCAATGTAAACCCTAGAAGGCCTACATCAGAAACATACTTACTAGCATTTGTGAAATAAAATACAGCACTGAATGAAAACTATTCACTGAGAACATACTGTGTAAAAATGGAGAGTGATTTTTATCCAAATTGTTCTTTTATAAGCTTAAATCTGGATTTATTCTCCTATTTATATGTAACTACAAGTAATATATTACTAATTATAAGCTCATGATTTCTTGGACTCATGAAAACATATTTTAAAAATTTGCCTCCTTCCCCATATAGTAAGCAATTTGATTCAGTACCCCTGGAGATGTAAAACTCATCTCAATTTACAACAGTAAATAAATAATTCAGTTAAAACTGAAAGTGGTACCAATCCACCAAACTACAGATGGAGAGGTTAGGCCTTCCATGCAGCTAGAACAACACAAAGTTTTCAATGGGGATTACCTGTTCAGACAAGTTACAAAGATTAGAAAAATACACAGTTAATTATGAAATAGCTAATATTTTTCATCTTAAGGAAAATAAATACTAGGAACGTCTGTGGGGAAAAACCTACTACTATTGGCATTTAAACTTTAAACATTTTGTGTTTTAGACTTCATATACTCATGTATGAAACAAATATTTAGCATAAAGAAGCAATAAAAGTCATATCCTCACCAAAGGCCTCTATCAACTAAAATTTTGCAATTTACTATGCAAATCAGACAAAACGAAAAATGGAGAAATTAGATCGGTAACGCAAAAAAAAAAAAAAAAAAAAAAATCAAGTCTTCCAACACTCAAGTCAATATCCAAATCACATACAGGACCAAAAAGGGGAAAACACTCAGGTTTACAAATGGATAAGCAGTTCCAATACAATCCAGATCCCGACATTTTCCCACTCAGAAACAAATGCAGTAGAGCTTTTCTTGGGGAAAAAGAAAAAAGCTCTTCAAATGAATTTTTTTAAGTGACATCTACAAAGTGTGCCTCTTTCTATCTCTTTCCCTGGCGCTTCATTGGAGGAAGGAGGGGGTTGTTTTTGTATTCTCCCCCACTGGAGCAAAGCACAATCAGATGTTAGCTGGAGGAGAGAAACCACTTTTGACAACAGCAAATAAAAATAAAAGTGTCCTTCTTCCCCTGACAGGATGGGCACCCCAACTCACACATCCCTCCCCACTCCAACCCCTCCTTCACTCACCCCCCCAGCACCACCACCTCCTCACCCCAGAGCTCCACTGCGTATGTGGTTTGGTGCCACTGTTGCCCCGGAGTGAAAGTCAGAGCCAGAAGAAGCCCCCACAGACACACTTACCTTTCCTGCCCCCCACTTTAGAGTGCCTTCCCTGGAGCTGTGGAGGATGACACAAAGGGTAATAAAGGGGGGGGGGGAGTGGAGGAGGAGGAGGAGAAGGAGGAGGAGAGCTGGGGAAGTGGCTGCTCCTGGGTGTAGTGAGATGTCTCCAGCCAGGGCCAAGCAGCAGCAGCAGCAGCAGCAGCAGCAGCAGCAGCAGCAGCAGCAGCAGCAGCAACAGCAGCAGCAGCAGCAGCAGCAGCAGCAGCAACAGCAGCAACAGCAGCAGCAGCAGCAAAAGGTCTGTGTTGCTAAGAGGCTTTTGGTCTCTTTCTCTCCTCCTCTCACGGCCAAAGAGAAGGAGGGTGGAGGGGGCTCGGGAGGGAGGCGAGTGGAGGGGTGTGAGGGTAGGAGTCGTGGATGGGGGTTTTCGAAGAAGAAGAAACTCCTTCCCCTTCTCTCTCAGGCTCAATACCCCTCTCAGGGCTCAGGGCTGGAGGGTGGGGGAAGGAATTGAGCCGCCTTCCCCCCCACCCCCCTTAATTCAAGGTTGAAGTGGGGTAAAATTAGTGTCCTGTCCCTTTAAAAATAGAAATAAAAGGTGCCCCCCCTCTGCAACAGCCTCTCTCTTCATCATCAGCTGCTGCTGCTGCTGGGGTCTCTCTGGTTGGGGGGGAGGGGGGGTTCGGTAGAAGAGACGGGAGAAACTCACTGCGCATGCCCCTCTCTGACGGGAGGCTGGTTGGTTGAAGGCAGGAGGAGGGGGAGGGGAGGAAATGAGATGTTTTCCCAGAAGGCTTAGAGGCTCTCGCGACCCGGAAGAAATTGTAGCAGGAGGTAGAGGGGCAGAGGCGGGGGGGGGGGCCAGGGGCGGGGGCAGGGGCGGGTGTAGGGGCGGGGAGGTGGAGGAAGTGGCTACTCTAACATTCCCAACTCCCTCCTCCCTTCTAAGGAAAGTGGAGAAGCGGAAGTGGGCGTGGACAGGGGCTGAAGGTCACGTGCTTTGGCGGGCGGGGTTTGGGAGAAGAGGCGGTGCTTGCGCTGGGTATGCCGGGAGTGGTTGTGTACTGCTGGCAACTGCTGGTGAAGCTGAATCGACGCGACGGGCTGAGCTTGTGAGTAGGTTGCGGCTGTTGCTGGATCCCAGCTTTGCCTTTCTGAAACCATACTTTTCGTGTGAGAGGTTACAGTTGATTAGTTTGGCTTCGCAGTGGAGGTCTTTGCCCGCGCGTAGCCAACAGCGAGTCGAAAGTGGGAGGCCTGGAGACTGGCAGAGCAGTGAGGAGGCAGGCTTGTCTAGGCCAGGCAGGCCAGAACCAGGCGGGCTCCTTCTGTGTAGCGACCTCCCCAGAAGGCTGTGGATGAATCGCTGACTAGTGTAGTGAGTGCTGAGAAGACTAGCACTATGCGGGGATTGTAGGTGAGATTTGTGAGAGATCTGAGGATAGGAGTGCAGTGAGATCTCTGAGCCTGGGCAGGTGAGTCTGGTGACATTCCAGAGCTCACAATGGGCGACCTGTCCGAGAACAGAGAAATCTGGTGAGATTTTGAGCCGCTTCTTTGGTAACATTGCTTGTATTGCACATAGTGCTTTTCATTGCTGATCTTGTGAACCTGTCTGAATTGTGAAATGTATGGGGAAGGAACAGGGAGGGAACATAGTCGAATTTCCCTCTATGTCTTGCGTTGTGGCTGCAGCATCAAATGTATGCCTGTTCTCAGAAGAATGTATGGAATTTTGTATGCAGTTCTTGAATCCTGAGTTTTAGGATTGAGAGAGGAGCGTCGTTAAAGTTTTCCCTCTCTGTATTTTAAAGTAAGTGTTTTGTCTTTTATAGTGAAATATCGTGGGGTTTTTTCATATTTGTGTCGTACAATTTAAAACATTCCAATTTTCAGTTTTCGTTTGTCTAGGTAATTTGAAGGATTAGCTCATTCGCTTTACATTTATTTCGTACAATTTTAATTGAAAACATTCCGATCTTTCTGTTACGTTTTGTAAAGGTAATTTAAAGGATAATGTGTGTATTTAGGAACCTAAAATTTTTGTTACATATTGTTATGTGAATAGTGTGGGTTCTCTGGAATATGAAAGTTACTGTGTTTCTACATTGTTTCCTACAAGTTTTGGCATACTAATTATGCATAGTATGGACCCTAGTTATGCATAATTGTGTAGTACTACTTTCTTTGTGTACAGTAATCCTGTCAAATGGAATCAAAACTATTCTGTGCCTTAATTTTTTTCATTGGAAGACCAAATATCTTTTATCTTGTCATTCAAAAAGTATATAGCAAAGCAATTACTTTGTAATAGACACATTTTTTAAATCTTTTATGATAAGACAAATATTTAGAATCGCGTAAAACATGTATTGAACAACTGTGTACTGTATAGCCACTCCCAGTCAGGAACTAGAACATTGGTGGGTCCTAAGAAGTACGTTTTCCCCACCCATCCCCTCTCTTAACCCCTCCCTGACTGTATCTTAGCAGAATTTTTATGGTAATTATTTACAGTTTTTCTTTCTAGTATTTATAAACCTTCTATTAGCATTACTAAACAATACGGGTTAATTTTGTCTGTTTTTTTCCTATACATACATGGATTCCATATTATGTTACTTCATATTTTTTAAAAATTCTCATGTTGCTAAGATTTTACCTTGTCTGTATAGTTAGCTGTATTTCATATCTTTTCATTGCAGTGTGGTAATGGCTGTATAGTGCAGCCTTTTTTTTCTAAAAACTAATCCACAATTTAAGTAGTCTTAATATTAATGAACATAATTTTAGCAACTATAAATAATGCAGTTAATGTTTATATACATGGCTTCTAACGCGCATGACTACATTTTAGATTTTATCCTCTGTTTTCATTAACAATGCCATTTGCAGAGCAGAACTTCTTAATTTTAACAAACTCCAACTTTTTTTCTCCAGTTATTAGTGGTTGAACCCGAGGATGCTCTACAACTGAGCTACACCTCAAGTCCCATTGATCGATATTGAGCAGTCTTAGTTGCCTGAGTTGGCCTCAAACTTTCAGTGTACCTTAAGATTGCAGGAGGTCACCACCATACCTGACTACTTCTTCATTTTTGAAGGATAGTTTCACCTAATGTAAAATCTAGGTGTTTGGTTTTGGTTTGTCTCTCAGCACCTACATAGTTCTTGCTTGTGGTTTCTAAAAAAAATACTCATTACTACACCATACCAAGGATGTTTCTTTATGACTTAGTTCAGGATTTTCCTTTTGTCTTTGACTTTTCTGTGGTTTCAGTATAATATGATATAAGAAAGAATAGTTTTTTTTTTTTTTTTTTTTTGGTATCTATCCTGCTTGGTGTTCTCTGAGATTCCTGGATCAGTGGTTGATTGGCTCTAAATTAATTTTGGGAAAAGCTCAAGTCACTGGCCAAATACTTCTGTTCTTTTTTCTGCCAATGTTTTTACCTATGCTTATATTACAACTTTTGTAACTCTCTCAGGTTTTGGATATCTTTACCAATTTTTCATTAATTTTTTTTTTGTTTTAGTTTGTAAGATTACCACTGACATAACTTTATACTTCATATTTCTTTTCTAAATCCTAGCTACCTTATTGAGCTCATCAAAGACATTATTATTGTTTTTTGACTTCTAATATTACCTTTTGCTTCTTTCTTAGAGTTTGCTTATATTACCCATCTGTAAATTACAGTTTTTTTCTGATAGAGATATAACCTTAGTCTTAGTTGTTTTAAGTTCCATAATTTCTGCCATATCTGAAGCTAGTTCTGGTTCTTATTTTTTTAAGGTGTTTTTGTGTGAGTTTTTTGTTTTGAGGAGAGTGAGATTGTTTTGTTTTGTTTTGTTTTGTTTTTGTCTTTTAGTATGTTTTCCTTTATTTAAAGCCAGACAGGATGTGAACTTAAGAACTAGTGGTGTAGATCTTCATTGAGATTTTTGTATTTATGTATTTCATAATAATCCTATAATAATTATTTGTTGTAGCTACAGATCCAGAGCCTAAATTCTCACTGTGTCTTTGTTTCTGTCTTAGTATTTTCTTTCAGCTTTCCCGGTTGTTTCTTAAATAAAGTCTAATCCATTTTGAACCAGAGCTTCTTAAGCATTAATCTTTTTAAAATTAAAACTAAATTAGTAACTCTGGCATACTAGCATTCACTGTAATCCCAGCTCTTGGGAGTTTGAGGCATAAGAGCCTGTGAATGTAAAGTTTGAGGCCAGCCTAAGCAACTAACTTGGCAAGACATTGTCTCAGGGAAAAAAAACTGAAGTGTGTTTATCATGCTCATGTATATGTGTATGTATGATTCCAGACATACTGCTGAGGACTGGTTTGAACTCAGAAGTGAAAGAAAAGCTTTTCTAGAGAATTAGAAGTCTTGTTTCAATTTATCATTTTTGAGTATTTAGACAGAAAAATATTTCTTGTGCTAATAACAATAAAGAAAATACCATGTCATCAAGTTAACTGACACTTTTGAACCTTGCATTCGTGTAATCTGAAAGTAGTTGTAAATACATTTTACCCATGTATATTCATGAAACAAAGTGCGAACTGATCTTATAAAATTGGCACTGATTTTTATTGTTTATTGTTTTTATTGTTTATTCCACTGTGGGAGAATTTTTCCAGAAATCACATAAAGTAATTATTCTTTTGGAATTCCTCTCAAGGAGACTTCACCAGAGACTATGTCATGGCATGGCTCATTAAATCTACATAGTTTTAACTGATCCCTTTAGCAAATGCCAAAAATATGTTTGCTTAACTGTCATCTCAAACTTACACGTACAGCCCCTTTACTTCCTCTACCCTCAACCTTTTTTTATAAATATATTTTTGTGTTTATTTCCCTACAAACGTGCCATCTTAATATAGTGTGAAAAATAGCTTAAATTTTTGGCCTAGTTTCTCTCAGAGACCAGTAACAAAATATGAAAACCACCGAGTAAGCTCTCCTAATACACCTATTGTTATACATTATTTGACTACTAACCTAAGCAAGAATATTTCCTCTCTGAAGAGGGGAGAAGTTTTAACTTTTGTCCATTCTTACCTTTTTTTTTTTTTTTTTTTTTTTTTTTTCTGGATAATGTTAACTACACAAAGTTAGACGCTAAATAATCATAGAACTTGTACTGTTAACTGTTTTCCTAAACTAAAGGGAAAGTAATAGTAATGTTGTCTTTGGTGTTAAGTTGTCATTGGAAAAAAAACCAGTGTTAACACCCTTTTTTATTTTATGAAGAATTCTTTTCAAGAAGAAATGTCCCCATCTGCTGGATCCTTAAATGTTTGCCTCAGAACAATGCTGTTAAAATAATACATGACAATTTATGAATTTTTAAATTATCATTTTTTATTCTCATCCACCAGTTTCACAAATATCTTTGTAACAATTATTCCAGTAAATTTAATCTTCACCATTATAAGCTTGCTTGCAAAATGATTGGTGAGTAGTGTGCCTTTAAATGTGAACAAATGGATATACTCAGTTTTTTTTAAGATTATCTGTTAATAGAATGGAAAGCTGTTTATGTTTTTAATGTACAAATGTGAAATTGTTTTAAGGCGTCACTTTAGTCCCAAAATTAGTGATACATTTTTTTTTTATTTAAAGAGAAAAGGGGGGGGGCAGTAAGAGGGTACAAGTAATACAGAATTTTAAGAAAAAAATATACAGTAAGAAATCACTAGTTAATAGATTACATACTGTCATCTTAGAAACAGTTGTCCAAATTACAAAATTAAAGCATACAAAGTGGACATTCATACAGTAAGAGTGCAGACAGTTCGGTTCAATGATCCAACAAAAACTCAGTAATACGTTTTTCTATCCTACACACTTACATATACATGCAGTTATATCCTTTAGACCACTTTCTTTTCTTCCCTTTGTTACAATAACACACTTTTTGGTTTTTATTACTCCCACAGTTCTTACTACTTTTTTTTTTTGAAGAGAATAAAACCAAACATGACTAAGCAAAACAGAGTCAGAACAGAAGGATGGGCATAGTACGATGCAAAAATAGCATACCAGGTGATCAAAAATGGTTACCATTATGCCTCTTGCTATTTTAAAAAGAGTTGCCTATATCATCAGGTATAATAGAATTGACCAAAACAGTACAGAACAAGACCAATAAAACCTGCACTGGGGACCTTACAGGACTTCCAAAGAAGATAATAGGCAAACCATAATGGGCATCATAGTAAATCTTATTGCCTTCAAAATGGTTGCCTATACCCTTAAACTTGATACTATCAAATAAAACAGAATAATCAGACAGAACAAGATGGGGAGAGCAATACTGGGGTTCAAATCAGGTTAGTAGGAAAACAAAAAAGTTACTATAATATATCCCACTATTTTTTAATTTAGTTTTCCCTTAATTAAAAAAATAAGAAAAAATAAATTAATTTTTAAAGAAGGAGGGGAGACTGAGATAAAAGAGGACATAGTAACAGAACAACACAGGTCAGAACCGAACAATTTAAGCATCATTGTGTTTCACCATCAGAT